ACTGGATTATAACCCAGTGTATCCATGAGTCCGTACTTACATAAATAAGTGACTAAGTAATAAAGGGGAGGAAAGGGATAGATCTTTACAGAGGGACCTCTGATAATGTATGTTGATATTCCTCCTCCAGGATGTGGAAGTTAATTTCCTTCCTCTGGAGAGCAGGCTAGACTTAGTGACTCACTTTTAAGAACAGAGTATAGAAAGAGAAAAAATACTCAGTTTCCAGTGGAGAAATCTGGCAGGGCCCAACCACCTTAACCAAGTGATCATGGTCAAATGCAGCAGTGAAGTCAGGCTGCTGCCGTGTCCCTGAGTTGGTCGTCTGAGAGCACCTCCCCTCGGCGGCACTCTTCCCCTAAACCCGTTCAGTTCAGTTGCTCAGTCGTGTCTGACTCTTTGCGACCCCATGGACTGCAGCACACCAGGCCTCCCCATCTATCACCAGCTCCCGGAGTTTACTCAAACTCATGTCCATTGAATTGGTAATGCCATACAACCATCTCATCCTCTGTCGTCCCCTTCTCCCGCCTTCAGTCTTTCCTAGCATCAGGGTCTTTTCCAATGAGTCAGCACTTCACATCAGGTGGCCAAAGTATTGGAGTTTCAACTTCAGCATCAGTCCTTGCAGTGAATATTCAGGACTGATTTTCCTTTAGGATAGACTGACTAGATCTCCTTGCAGTCCAAGGGACTCTCAAGAGTCTTCTCCAACACCAAAGTTCAAAGTTCAAAAGTTCAGCGCTCAGCTTTCTTTATAGTCCAGCTCTCACATCCATACATGACTACTGGAAAATCCATAGCCTTGACTAGATGGACCTTTGTTGGCAAAGTAATGCCTCTGCTTTTTAATATGCTGTTTAGGTTGGTCATAACTTTTCTACCAAGGAGTAAGCGTCTTTTAATTTCATGGCTGCAGTCACCATCTGCAGTGATTTTGGAGCCCCCCAAAATAAAGTCTCTCACTGTTTTCACTGTTCCCCCATCTATTTACCATAAAGTGATGCGACCGGATGCCATGATCTTAGTTTTCTTAATGTGAAGTTTTAAGTTTTACCACCTTTTTCACTGAGAGTGGACTTATGCTGCTACAAACCAAGGAATGGATGGGGCCACTAGAAACTGTAAGATTTTCCCCTCAGGGCTTCAGAGGAAGCATGGCTCTGCCAAAGCCTTGATTTGAGACTCTTGGCCTCCACAATGATAAGAAAATAAATTCCTGTTGTTCTAAGCCACCCAGTTTTGGGTAAATTTTTGTGCCTTAGGAAACAAATACAGGGAGTCAGGGTTAGCCCCACAGGGGTGATGACATCTGATCGGATACCTGAGAAGAGTCAGCCCTGCAGAGATCTCGGGACAAAGTCTTCCAAGCTGAGGGACAGCAGTGAAGTTCTGAGGCAGGAAGGAACTGGGAAGCTTATTCCTACAGCTATTTACAAAGAGAGGTAGCTTGTATTGAAGCATTCACACAATGAAGCATGCAAGCTAAACAGGTAGCTTCTTGTGCAAAAAGAACCCAGAGGAATGTGCTGCAGGCTCATTTAAGTATCTGTCTATTGGCCAATTGTAAGCTCTTCCTGAAGCGAATAAAGTCCTAAACACAAAGGAATGTGTTGCAGTGTAAGAAAGATGGTTCAGTGGGAAAGGCATGAGGAGGGTTTTGGAATCAGGGTTTAAAATCAAACTTTGCTACTTCTCAGGTGTGTGAAAAGTTACTGCAAGTCGTCAACCTGAGTCTCGGCTTCTCATTTGCAAAATGGGGACACCATGACCCATCTTGAGGGGTTGTCATATAAATTTAATCAAGTTCAGAGGGAAGGCTCTGGAGTCAGATTGTTTGAAGTTCAAATTCTGGCTCAGCCACTGACCTTTGTGTGACTTGCTGGTCTCATCTGTAGCACAGGGAAGGAACAGCCCTTAACCCATGGGTTACTATCAAGAGGAAGTGACTAGATTATGCCTAGGTATTAAGGTGAATGACTGGGTTACCACAAGTGGTGGCGGTGGTTATTATTGTTGTTCTTCTTGGTAATTCACATAAAGCACCAACATGGTGTTGATTCAATACACACTTTGAGACAGATTGTTCTCAATTATTCACATACTTTTTATCCTCCGACTTTAGCAAATGGCAATGTCTTAAGAAAGAACTATGGACCAAGGTTCATAACACTATATAGGAGGTGGTAACCAAAACCATCCCCAAGAAAAAGAAATGCAAGAAGGCAAAGTGGTTGTCTGAGGAGATCTTACAAATAGCTGAGAAAAGAAGAGAAGTGAAAGGTAAAAGAGAAAGGGAAAGATATTCCCAACTGAATACAGAGTTCCAGAGAATAGCAAGGAAAGATAAGAAAGCCTTTTTAAGTGAACAATGCAAAGAAATAGAGGGAAACAATAGAATGGGAAAGACAAGAGATCTCTTTAAGAAAACTGGAGATACCAAGGGACCATTTTACGCAATGACAGGCACAATAAAGGATAAAAACAGCAAGGACCTAACAGAAGCGGAAGATATTAAGAAGAGGTAGCAAGAATACACAGAAGAACTGTACAAAAAAGCTTTTAATGACCTAGATAACCACAATGGTGTGGTCACTCACCTAGAGCCAGACATTCTGGAGTGTGAAGTCAAGTGGGCCTTAGGAAGCATCACTACAAAGCTAGTGGAGATAATGGAATTCCATGTGAGCTATTTCTAATCCCAAAAGATAATTCTGTTAAAGTGCTACACTCATTATGCCAGCAAATTTGAAAACTCAGCAGTGGCCACAAGACTGGAAAAGATCANGCTGGGAGGGATTGGGGGCAGGAGGAGAAGGGGACGACAGAGGATGAGATGGCTGGATGGCATCACCGACTCGATGGACATGAGTTTGGGTAAACTCTGGGAGTTGGTGATGGACAGGGAGGCCTGGAGTGCTGCGACTCATGGGGTCGCAAAGAGTCGGACACGCCTGAGCCACTGAACTGAACTGAAACTATGGTGGAAGTAGTGAAGATAATGGCTCCCTCAGAAGATCCCATACATGTACTGCTACACTCGGTGCTCCCAGCCCTGCAGCTGGCCACCACCCTAAACCTGTAACTGCAGTCTAATCATGAGAGAACATGAGGGTCATTCTGTAGCTTGCAGGGTATTTTATAAAATACCTGATCATGAATCTTCAAAAGTGTCAAGGTAATGAGAAATAGGGAAAAACTAAGACATTGTCCCAGACCAAGGGAGACACAACAAATAAATGCAGTGTGGTATGCTAGAACAGAAAAAGGAATTGGTGGAAAATAGTGATTTCCTAATAAAGGCTGTGGTTTAGTAAATAATGTAGTACCACTGTTGATTTCTTAATTTTCACAAATGTACTGTAGTTATGTCAGATGTTAACATCAGTAGAGGTGAGGGAAGGTATGTGGGAACTCTCTGTACCTTCTTTGTGACTTTTCAGTAATGCTAAAGATATTCCAGAATGAAAGTTTCTATTTTAAAATGCTTTACTGTTCTCCAGCCTCAAACACTCATAATGTGTTGTTATTGTTTAGTCACTGAGTCGTGTCCAACTCTTTTGCGACTATAGCTTGGACTACAGCTTGGACTGTAGCTTGCCAGGCTCCACTAACCATGGAATTCTTCAGCCAAGAATACTGGAGTTGGTTGCCATTTCCTTCTCCAGGAGATTTTCCTGACCCAGGGATCGAACCTGAGTCCCCTGCCTTGGCAGGCAGATTCTTTACCACTGAGCCACCAGGAAAGCCCCTTATAATGTGTAGGTGAAAGATTTATGAGAGCTAACAGTTTTCTTTCCTGCCTCTTTTTTGAAAAGCCCAGCTTGGTGGAGTCTGGTATCTCATTTGAGGGTATAATTTTTACTATTTTTGAGGCTCAGCAGCAGCCTGCTATTTAAATTTCCTATTACGTTCATATATGCTAACAAATATCTCTTTGGTGATATACAAGAAACCAAAATCTGATGGCCTGTGGACAAATGTACTTCAGTGGCTCAAGGAGAAGAAAGAACAGTTTCTTACGGTTTATTTTGATGTACTTTTGGAATCTGAGCCATGTGAACAAATCACATCTGTAAAATTTTTAATTTAAAAAAATGGCTTGGTTGTATTACTCTTGAATCAGTGTTTGATGACTCAGGAACTGTTTCTATACTGTTGTGCCTCCTGAGAAAGATCCTCTGTATGTTCTGTGTTGAGAGCCATTGGGTGTTTCGAAGCCATTTTTCCTTCATGATGCTGTAATGTCATTTGCATTTGAGTTCCTCCTGTTTCATCTGCACACATTTCACAAAATATTCGGTAACTGCCTAATACTTTAGCAATTTGTCAGATAATTAGGCACTTCATGGGTTGGGATTATTTCTACTCTGTGGAGCCCACAGAACGATGCTGTGAAGGTATTTGTGGCTACATTAAATTCATTAGGAGGAACATTCCTGGGCATTTTTCCATTTCAGGAAAGGTTCCAAAAGAGGTCAGCTTTCTCATCTACCTAAGACAGGTACCAACCACAGTTTCACTCATACATTTATCACTCATTTCTAAAGCAGTCACTCTGTTCATAACAAAACTCTCAAGCTTTATATGTCTTCATAAAGAGGATAGAAATAAAGCTTGTGGTTTCATTAGTACACCTTCTGACTGAGCCAGTCTTTAGCTCTAAAAGTTTCCTAAAGAAATGTGATCCTTGCTTTGGAGTTGGTGGTTGTTATCCAGGAAGGGCCAAGATATGAGACTCAGAAATGTCACTCCCCAAGTTTAGGTTTTGGGTGTCTGTGGGTCCCTATAATCAGTTTCCCACCCAGGCATTAGCTAAACACAGTGACAGCACAGATGGCTTGGCTTTGTAAGGTGTACATTTCAATCAGGACTTTAACCTTCTTTTTATTATTTTAGATCTTATACATTTTGGTTGCTGAGAATTTTAAATAAGTACCTTTTTTAAGATAAGAAATGAAATCAACATCTTTGCCACTTATTCTATCTTTTCTTTTTAGCAAGTCTTTTCCCTTGTTTAATCGATGTATCCCTCAAACTCCTGAGTGCTATTCTCTGTTTGCATCTGTTCTGATCAATGATGTGGACTCCCTCCATCGAATTCTAAGTGGAATAATGTCAGGAAGAGACACAGTCCTCGGCCTCTGTATCCTCGCCTTTGGTAATTTTTCATTAATTTTTCTGCAGTGGCTCTTTATACCAAAATTTCTAGCACTTATGTGTGCTGTACAATGAAAATTAGCCTCTTGACCTAATTATGAAACTTCACTTCATATATTTTCTTTGTAGATATTGTCAGTGTTTCAAGTTCAGGTGGGGAAGGGGTGGTAAGACTGGGAAAAGGCCAGCTGACCCTGCCTAGAGGCCTCACTAGGTGGGGGTTGCCTTAGACATTGACAATGTACCAGGGTCTGCTCCTCAGCTCTGCCTGAGGATGGATGTGCAGAGAAGATTGCCACTTTGTGAACTGGCCATGGAAAGTGCCAGAAATGCATGTCCAGCAAGTGTGGACGTTTTGTAATGCCTCTTCCTGCAGGCAAGCCAGATCAGAGCCTGCTGAGTAGGGGAAGGAGGTGTGTCCATCATGTTAGCGTCAGAGGGCACTGAGCCGATGGATCCAGCTCCTCCCAGGAACAGGCTTGCTGGGTTGCAGGCAGGTCAAGGCCTTGAGCTGGATCCTGCCTTTTCTGAGTCTTTCTGGAAGCAGCCACTTCCCCACTCCTGACGGTTTAACTTCCCTTTTGCTCTTTTAGCTTGATGAGTCCTTTTAAGTGTCAGCCTTCTCTTTGAATGAGTTAATACTTTCTGTTGCTTTAGGCAATAGTAGTGGCCTGTTATTTACCCCTGTCATTTACAATGGCTGCCTCCCAACCTTGGAAGGTTGAAAGCTCTTTGATCATCCATTAACATCATGTTTCCAGTTTATAAATTGAGGTTTCCATAATTTCATTACCCAAAGGTTACTAATTTCTGAATGCTTGGGGATGCTTAACTAGCCACCATTATGTAACTTCCAGACTTCTTGTGACCCACATACACCAGGCATTGTGCTTATTGTTAACTCTTTAAGCCTCATCAGAATCTCATCACCATCTGTATGAGAGGAAACTGAGGCCTAGAGACATCTGAGGCTTGACCAAGTTTACACATCTAGTGGAGGTGGCAGAGCTGAGACTCGGCCCAGATCTGTCTGACTTCAAACCCATGATCTTAATCACTACACTGAAATATCTATATGTAATCTTGAATTCTGGCTCAGAAAAAAGTAAAATAGTACCTATAAATTCACTGAAGTTCCCTGGTGACTCTGATGGTAAAGAATCTGCCTGCAGTGCAGGAGACCCAGGTTTGATCCCTGGGTCAGGAGGGTCACCTGGAGAAGTATTTTTGTCTAAGAAATCCCATGGACAGAGGAGCCTGGTAGACTACAGTCCATAGGTCACAGAGTCAGACAGGACTGAGTAGCTAACACTTTCAATAAATTCATAGGCTTAAAAGCCCCCAAAGTGGAAACAGATATGCAAATTTTTATACATATATCTTATCATATAATCTTAAATTTTTCATTTTTAAAGGCATTCATCTTTCATTTTTAGTGAGGATATCTGAGAACACAAGATTAGAACTTTAAGTTATGAAATCAAAAGAGTTAAGTTTAATAAAAAATTTTTAGATGTTTCATTTGGACTTAAAAGAAAGAAAGTTTAGGATATTTGGGAGTAATACCTGCTTTGAAAACATTTTTATAGTTCAAGAAGCATGCTAGCACTTTCAGGACGTGACTTACTGTCACAGACTGAACTTGTACATGCTTCAGAGGGTGGCCTGAGTATGACTTGTTCTTGTTTGATAGATGTCCAAGATATTTCGAGATTGAAGAAAGTCCTCAGCCTTCACTCTTTCAGAAGGTTTAGTGATTCCAGCCCCATTGTAATCACCCTCATGTCTTGATTGTTGTTAGAATTTATATGTTTTGCTTAATTTTCTAGCCTTGTCTTTGGCCATGATGTTCACCTTCCGCTTCATCACCACCCTTCTGGTTCACATTTTCATTGCACTGATTGTTTTGGGATTGTTGTGTAAGTATTTCCACTTGATTGGTTTCTTCTTGATTGAATGAAAAACCTTTCTGTTACATGTAGAACTTAAAAGCTGGCATTTATGAGCTACATGGGATCTTAGAGAAGCTCTTGTCCAGCTCCCTCATTTTATATAAGAGGAAATACAGGCCCAAAGAGGACAGGGAGGACTACAGGATTACTTCTGTCTCAGCTAACAGCAGAGTTCCTGCCTGGCCTGCCATCTCTTCTGCACTCTCAGATGAGCCAGCCCAGTGAGTGGTACTGGTTTCATTCATTAAAAGGCAATTCCAGTGCCTGTTGGAAGCCCTTTAAAGAATTTTTTCTGAATTTCCATATCACCCATTGGCACCTAGGGGCCAGTATTACCCTGCAAAGGCTCAGGCCGGTCTGAAGAGACACAGCCCTTGAGCTGGGCAGGGTACCAGAGACATGTCCCGTGCCCACTGTTTTCCTTTTCAGTGCTGGATCTCGGGTCCATCCAGGAGCTGTCAGGGAGGAAGATCCGAGGGACAGGGGCAGGCAGGAAGGTCAAGGCAGCAGTATAAGATCCCGGTGGAGGATATTTTAATTTTTAATAATTGGTGTGATCAAATAAATACTTGGCATGACCATAGCGTTTCATCTTCTGAACAATCAGTTCTGTCCTCAGCACCTCCCAGCCCTGCAGCTCACAGGTGCTCAGCTTGCCCGTGCTGGAGGACATGCAGGACGGCTTGTGAGGGATGCTCTTCCCCACCCACGAGTGGTAAAGACGCCCTCCCTGAAGCCACTGTGGATGTGGTGCAGGTGTCCCCAAGGCCCTAAATGCAGAGCATTTGTGATGTTGGGACATCTGCCCAGTTTTGTAGGTGTCAAGCCAATATCCATATAGTCAAAGGTCTGGTCATTCCAGTACAGATGTCAGAGTTGGACCATAAAGAAGGCTGAGTGCCAGAGAATTGATGCTTTTGAATTATGATGCTGGAGAAGACTCTTGAAAGTCCCTTGGACAGCAAAGAGATCAAACCAGTCAGTCCTAAAGGAAATCCACTCTGACTATTCTTTGTAAGGACCGGTGCTGAAATTGAAACTCAGTATTTTGGCCACCTGACGCGAAGAGCCAACTCATTGGGAAAAGACTCTGATGCTGGGAAAGATTGAAGGCAAAAGAAGAAGGGGGCAACAGAGGATGAGATGTTTAGATAGCATCACAGTCTCAGTGGACATGAATTTGAGCAAACTCCATTGAGATAGTAGAAGCCAGAGGAACCTGGCATGCTGCAGTTAATGGGGTCACAAAGAGTCGGACACGACTTGGCAATGGAACAACAGCAAGACCAATATCCAGGCTCCTCTGGAGTTGTCACCTGCAGAGCTGATTTGGGAATTTTAGCCTTTGGACTCTAATGTTGTTCCTCTCACCATCCTGTCCGTACAGTTTGCTCCATGCTCACACCCAGCCCCACCTATGGGCTAGGCTCACAGGGCACACCTGTGTTTTGGAGTCACCTTCCTACATCTCCCAGAGATACACAACTGCCCTAGGCCTGGAAGCTCCTCCGTGGGCCGCCGTGACCCTGCCTAGCTGCTTCAGAGGGTTGGTCATTGCCTGCAAAGCCCAAAGTATTTGGGACCCACTGCCCGAGCAGGGCCACCCAGTGTCAGGGGACAGGGTGGTTACCTCATGGTGTGTGTGCTGAATTCCACTGCTGTTCTGCTTTCCAGTTGTCTGCGGTGTCTTATGGTGGCTATACTATGACTATACCAATGACCTCAGCATAGAACTGGACACAGAAAGGGAAAATATGAAGTGTCTGCTGGGATTTGCTATTGTCTCTACAGTAATCACGGTAAGAAGCACTCTTCCAGCAGTAGATCAGGTAGCCTGCCAGAACTCTGAAGTCCAAACAGTTGCATTTTAACCCAAAACAATGAGCATTTGTTTTTCTTTCACTGCAGAAGGTGCATACATAGTAATGTAGTGAGGGTACATACACATTTAGTGCCTTCACATTTCATTTGAGATACCTGTGTAGGAATGCATTGCAGCCTCAAAAAGTGAAAAAACAATCCTACCTCTTTCCAGGTCATTTCTGCCATCTCAGAAGTTGATTCATTATCCTTGCTGATCCGTTACCCTTGCTATAGTAGGACTGCTTTCACCCCCAGGCAGCTATCGGGTGAACACTACAGTGTGGAGAGGGAGGCAGACTTGTAACAGTTCCTATTTCCTGGTTTGAGAAGAGCCCCCCTTCCTCCTCTAGCCAGTGGGTGCTTTGCTCCCAAAGGCGTGACAGCTCCTTGAACACAGAGAGCCCTTTGTCTCCAAACCTGCCGGCCACTAGCTTCATTTGGTTTGCAGAGTACCTGCTGCCTCCCCAGTGAATTCCCTGGATGAGAGCAGGCAAACACAGAACATTGAGCCTGGCCATATAGGTTGTTGGCGGAGGATGGTTGGCAAATGAGAATCATTCAGGCCACTTCCTGGATGCTGATGGTGGTGCTGGCATCACAGGCCTGGATAGGCTCAGGGGTTGGCTTCAGGCGGCTCATGGGCATCCTTTAGTGTGTTGCTTCCTAAGCACTATGTCATGGAGGCATGACAGTCAGAGGTTTTCACATGCCCATTGCATGTTTCAACAACTCAGTTCTCATAAGAGCCTCAGATTCTCTCACCAGCTCAGCTCTCTCCTTTAAGGAAATACTTGGGTTCTCACATCTGATGCAGGCCTGACATTTTCTCCTCTCTAGGGAGGTGTCAGGCTTGGGTTCCTCACATGAACTGCATCTCAGGGAGCAAGTATCCGATAAAGCAAAGCTCCTGGTCTGTCCTGGGTCCAGGCCCATGGCTGAGCCGGGACCTGGGCAGGAGGCTGGAGAAGAAAGCCCCCCACACCCCCAGGCCAGGTGCTGGGCTGCTGGGCACAAGCAGCAGGAAGAAGCAGGGCTGGGAGCCGGGGGAGCTCACCTCCTTCCACTCCCCCCACAGCCATTGTCCTCCCCAGCCCTCCGCAGGGCTCCCTTTGTCTTCACACACTGAACCGTCAGTGGCTGACAGATGCCAGGGTCAGGGGAGGCTCTTCACTGGGTGTAAGGATAGAGAAAGGGGAGGCTGTGAGCGGAGAGGGAGGAGCGCACCGCGGCTCACACACCATTCGTTTACACGTGTGTCCCTGCTACGTAGTTTCTGCCAAGTACCTGCTTCTGGGGAGCTTGTGCTAACAAGATCCCTAAGACTCTCTGTCACCATCACCTTTTACTGAGCACCTGTTTTGCACAGGGCCCTGCCCTAGACAACGGAGCTGGCCAGAAAAAACACACAGCCAGCACACACCCCACCGTGAGGTGAATTACAGAGCCAGCAATGCCATGACGTGATGCACAGGGCAAGATTCCATCCTGTGAGGGGAGCTGCCTAGGAATGCTATTTCAGTGGTTTCAATATACTCAGCAGCAGCAATGAAAATAGGATGAATGGCATTGGCTGCTCAAATCAGGGTGTCAGCCTAGGGGCGCGGGCTGAGATGCAGCAATTGGCAGCTTAGGGCCCAGAAAGGGGAGTAGAGGCTTGACCCCTGTGGTGAGTCAGCTTTGCTGCCCACCCCACGCCCCTAGCAGGGTCCCCAGTGGGTAATGCTGATCTCCCTAAGACTAGGGAGTAATGGGATAGTTAACTCTTCAGTTCTGATCAGTGTCCTCGCGGTGTACTTTGACCATGAGGAGAGCCTTTTACACACACACACACACACACACACCACACATTTAAGTTGAAAAACACACACATATTAAATACACACATTTTGGCATTCCATTCAGGAGCTACCAGCCACTCAGGAGCTACAAGTTTATTTGCCTAAAGATTATATCATTTTACTTTATTAAAATTTTTAGTAAAAAACAAAGTCCCTCTTCCTCATTGATTGTGCTAGGCATTGAGGACACAAGAGGTGGAAATTCCTACTCAGCCTTCACAACTCTCACATCTCCTCCAGGCATCCCTCCCTGGGTCCTCAGGCCAGTCCCCACAGCTGGGTGACGACTGGGCCCTTCAGCCCCGGGAGAGGTTTTGCACATTTTATTCCTCTTTCACCTGACTTCCCTCCACTTGACTATGAGATCCTCATGGGCAGCAACACCCGAGTCCAGCAGGAAGAGGAATAGCATCTTGGGCTCCAGGGGTGGTGTGCTGGGTCACATGGACAAGAGAGGAGCCTGTAGGACGTTCCCTCGGCAGGAAGGGACCAGACTGGGGAGGTCCTAATTTGCAGTGGTGATGATTTCAGTTTTTATCCAGGAGCTCTGGGGAAAAGTCAAACGATTGGGAGAGGACATCCTTGACTGCACATTTTATAAAGACCCCTTTAGCTTGTGTTGGAGGAGGGATGAGGTCAGGAGTAGGGGGTTAAGGGAATTAAAAGCAGAAGGTAATGAGGTTATTGGGGGTCTAGAAGAAAGAAAATGAGATTTGAGCTGTGGCATCAATGTGGGAATCGAGAGGAGAGAAGAGACTGGGAGCTCTGTCAGCAAACTGAGATTGTTCTATGACTGTCGCTTTGCCAGCCCTTTTTAAAAATTTTTTAAATTTTTTATTTTTTTGCCAGCCCTTAACAATAAGGGATGGCCTTTCCCTCAAGAAGCTTGATGTCAGTAATGTGCCGTGCAGGCAATAAACATCCACAGTAGAGTGCGCTGAGTGCTACGGTAGGGTAAGATGGAAGCCTGCAAGAGAGGAACCTAACTTTTTCTCGGAAAGTGTAGAAAAATTAGGACCCCTGGAGTAGGGAATGCGGGGGAAATAGATTTCTGTGTGAAGATGATGGAGTCAGTTCTGGACACGTTGAGTTTGATGCACTGTAGGATACCCACTGCCTAGTCAGTAACTGATGTGCTTACTCATCCATCATGTAGAGAAAGGTGAGGTTGGAGATTTTTATTTTAAATTGACAGCATTGCATAGCTTGCAGGATCTTAGTTCCCCAATCAGGGATTGAACCTGTGCCCTCTGCAGTGGGAGCATGGAGTTCTAACCACTGGACCACCAGGGAATTCCCTGGAGATTTTTATTTGTAAGTTTAAAGCATCTAAGAAGGATGCTATAACCACAAAAGAGCAGGAAGGACCACCCAAAAGATCCCAAGAAACAGCAACTGAAGAAGTAGAAGGAGGCCCAAAGGAGAGAGCACTGTCCTTGCGGCCCCTTGCCCTTCTGCAGTCCTCAGCATTCTCTGGCATGTTAGGTGCTATTGGGAAAAAGAAATAGACGGTTCCCTGACACCCGAGGACCTTACTCTCTCTCTCTGACAGGCTGCAAGCTCCTTTAGAGCGGGGGCTCTGTCTCGTCCACTGTTGTAGCAGCAGAATCTAGCATAACAATCAGCACATAGTAGATGCTCAATTAGTACTTGAGAACATGTCTATTCCATTATGATAAAGTAGGGGCTGACTGTGTTAAAAGAGCTATTTGCTGAGATGTCAGTAAAATATTAGGGTTTAAGTTCATCTCAGTTCTTCATTATTTTGAATAATTTAACCCCTTTTTCACCAGGCAGTTCTACTCATCTTGATTTATGTCCTCAGAAAGAGGATCAAATTGACAGTTGAACTTCTCCAAGTCACAAATAAAGCCATCAGCAGCTCTCCCTTCCTGCTGTTCCAGCCGCTGTGGACATTTGCCATCCTCATTTTCTTCTGGGTCCTCTGGGTGGCAGTGCTCCTGAGCCTGGGGACTGCAGGTAAGGGCCGTGGGGATGGGGTCCATGCTGGAGTCAGGCACAGAAGGCCCCAGCATTCTGGAACCACTGGCCTGTTTTTATAGAGACCAGACTTCCCATGCAGCTTGAGGCCTCTGGTGGCAGCAGTGATGGTGTTTGGGGCTCTGTCATGGGGGGATGCAGGAAATTCTTTTCCCTCTGATGGGGGTGGGGGAGAGGACCCTTCTGAAATGTTGTTGCTGTCTCAGAAGAACCAGTTTAAATTTAATGAGAGTGCACACAGGCCTCTGCATTGCCTTGCTCCTGAGAAGACAAGGCTGTTTCATTTGGGGCAGCCGTGCACAGTTTGAAAATAAGAGGTTCTGTTACCAAGAAAAGATGAAAGAACAGAAATCATGAGACAGTTGGAAGTCTCAACTGGGGCAGCACTGAACAATCACATTCTAGCTCATTTCCTCGACACAGTTTTAGTCCTGGTCAGATAGGAAGGCAGTGGCCTCGGTGCCTGCAGGAAAGTGAACAGTTGTTGAAAATTTCCTGAATTCTGAGCTCTGTACTAGGTGCTTCCTTATGGTCTCTCCTTTAAGCATTGCAACCCCCTTTTGATGCCTGTGTTCTTATGTTCAAGTTATAGGCAAGAACGTTGAGGTTCTAGTAAATAATTTGCTGAAGGCCATCCAGCTAGCTGACACCAGAGGTCTAGAACAGCTCTAGCTCTAGAACCTGTGCTCTTCCCACTACCTCACGTGTCCCTGTGTCTGGGATACGGGGCTAGGAAATCAAACTAGGCCTCCTGAGTTTTGTCCATTCAAGTCGAAGCAGCATGTGACCACAGAGCCTGGCTGGCAGATGCGGGCTATGCCCATAATGTGGTGTTTGCAGCCTGTGACTAGAGGGCAACATGGCAGGCTAGGGGCTGAAGCCAGGGGGTGGCAGGGGGGTGGCAGGACTTAACGCTCTGGGTGGTAGGTTGTGGTGCTGAGCCCTCATCCTCCAGAACCACAGGGAAGAGGTGAGGCCTTGGGAAGCATGACTTGGGCCCAGGGAGGGACCTTCCTCCTCTAGCCTCCAGGGCACAGTTGCCCACTTTGCTGTCATTATGGGCTGTGAGCCTGGGTGAAGGGAATTGTCTCTGGGGTTTGGAGCAGGACACATCCTTTTGTTCTTTCTTTACTGCACAAATGTTAGGTGAGGGCTGTGGGAAAGGTCCTGGCAAGGCAGTGGGGAAGAGTGGTGGCCTCTGGCCACGGTGAGGATGGCCAAGGTAGAGAACCATCACAGGAGGAGAGATCTGGGGGGCTGTGAGAGTACCACAGCGAGGCTCCAGCCGACTTTGTGAGGCAGGGAAGGCTTCTCAGAGGATGGGCTGGAAATCGCCAGAAGATCAGGAAGTACAGAAAGAAGCAAAGGGCTTTAGTGGGGTTATGTCCAAGCACAGGCGAGAACCTGGTCGTAGAGGACAAGACGAGAGCTGGCCCTGAGAGTTGGGGGCCCAGGCGGAGAGGATCATGCCCCAAGGCCAATTCAGGTGGGGGGTGACTTGATCCGCTAGCAGGGTGCCTCTTCAGTTCTCCCTCTTAGGCCCCAGTTGAGTCCAAGGCCTGGGAAACATTAAATAGCCTGGGCCTCAGGGCTGAGAGGAGGGGCGGAGACAGAGTGGGCTGCTCTATAGGGTAGAAGGCAGCACGTTGGAAGGTTATGTACTAAAGCGTGGCCATTTTGGAAGGAGATAAATGCACAAAACTGAGATGAATTGAAGAGCAGGAGGGACTTCCCTGGTGGTCTAGTGGCTAAGACTCTCTCCCAATGCAGGGGCCAGAGTTTAATCCCTAGTTGGGGAGCTAGACCCCACATGACCACAACTAAGAGTTTGCTTACTGCAGTTACAAGATGCTGTAACCAAGACCAGACCAAATAAATAAAAATAAATATGAAGGGCAGGAAAGGAAACTGGGTGCCCAGGACCTGCTGCAGGAATCTGTGAGCAGGTAGATACCAGGCTTCCCGGAGGCCTGGTGTTGACAGAGCTCCCGCCTTCCCTCTTCCCCAGGGTTGGGCAGCACAGAAACCAGGCCACCTGCCTCTCCTTTCCACTCACCTGTGGCCCAGCGTGGTGCACAGAGGTCCCTTTGTCTTCAAAGGCCTTTTCATACAGTGCCAGGATGACAAGCTCTGGGCCTGGGCGGGTCATCTGCTGCTGTTTGGATCCTCAGCAGATGCCAGGTGATGGGGGTGGTGAGGGACGCCCGCGCAGCACCTGTCTCATTTCACATTCCCTCAGCAGATGCCCAGGTGATGGGGGTGGTGAGGGATGCCCGCGCAGCACCTGTCTCATTTCACATTCCCTCAGCAGATGCCCAGGTGATGGAGGTGGTGAGGGACGCCCGCGCAGCACCTGTCTTATCTCATGACCCCTCAGGCAGTCACAGAGCCCTCAGACTCTCCAGTCTCCTCCCAAAGTCCCCAATGTTGTGGGGGTGTCCTCAGTGGTACATCCGATGAGATTTTTATTGTGTCACGTGACTGAATAGTTAATACTTTATTGTGTAAAAAAAGAAAAAAATGCAAGAAAAACCAACTTAGGTTGATAAATTTTTGCCATTTTTTTTTTGATGAGCTATTTCTCTAGTGACTGTTAATAAGTCTCTTAACTAGTTGACAAACTCGGGCTTGTTTGGGGATTCCTTCAGTGGAGCAGAAGAAATGACAGGCCCCCCAGAATGACAGTAATTAGTCAGTTGGAACTTGTATGCTACCAGCAGTGTGACAGTGATTACTAGAATCCAGTGGAAGAAGTAGTTACAGGAACACGGTAATAACCTTGGGAATCCAGTAGGTGCGGTTGGCAGGTAGGAAAAAGCCCAGATGATCTGATGACCCTCAGTTATCATTAGGTGGTGAGGAAGCCCCAGAGTTGAAACAGTAGAAGAAAGGGGCCCGTTTGGGCTGGGGGTGGCTTTCTCTCCCCGTGGTACTACAGTCAGAAGAGATCTATCCTCACAGGAACGTGCTTAGCGTGCTGAAAGGCAAAGGACTGTGCTTAGAAAGGAGGCAGCAGGATTATAGAGGGACTCCCGTCAAGGGCCCTGGGATCTAGGCTGGCTCTGGCCTTCCTTGAATGTTAATCTTGGCTTCCTTTTTCCCATTTTTGCAGTAGACAAATGGTACTTTCCCCAGACTGCCTCATAAGGAAGTTAGGAGGCTGAGATGGGACCAGAGCTTTGCTTTGCAATTAGGGAGCCCTATGTATTTCTTATATTAGGAACTAATGTCAACCAAGGAATGTCTAGTACTAACTTCCAGTTTGTGGTTTGTTCTCTGCCTGGCATATTTGAAAACACAGTCTAAAAGAAAATTGTCCTCTTTTTAGGTTATCAGAGATCTAGAAGATAATTGAAGTTATTTCACAAAAGCTTCCTAATAGCCCAGCCCTGTCCTAGGAACAGGGGGAAGAGGGGTTGCTCAGGAGAGATTTGAAACAGCACCTGCTTTTCAGAAGTTTATGTCCCTGTGGGGAAGTGTGAAGGAAGACAGCCTCCATGAACATCTAGGGGTCTTTGCACCTGCTGTGATCTTAGTCTAGAATCTTCTCCCCTTCCTAAGCCTCACCCCAACTTTCTGCCCATCACTGCTTGGAAAAACGAGTCATTATTCAAGATCTGTTTTGAGTAATATATTTCTTGGAACTATCCTTGGTGGCTCAGACTGTAAAGAATCTGTCTGCAATGCAGGAGACCTGGGTTCGATCCCTGGGTCAGAAAAATTCCCTGGAGAGGGAAATGACAACCCACTGCAGTTTTCTTGCCTGGATAATTCCCTGGACAGAGAAGCCTGGTGGGCTACAGTCCATGGGGTTGCAAAGAGTCGGACACAACTGAACGAGTAATGCTTTCACTTTCAATATATTTCTTGGAAACTCTTATAAATTGCCCAAGCAAACTGAGCTATTTCTTCTTTTTTTTCCCCTTACATTTTGTATATTCTTCATTCTTTCAAGAACTATTCATCGAATGCCTGCTACGTGGCTTGAGAACTAGAGATACAGTAGTGAACCAGATGAAGGGAATGGGAAAAGGAGCATAAATGTGTTATGTCAGGTGGTGATGAGACCTCTAAACAATCACGCAAGATAATGACTTGTGTGTTGTCCTCCCTCAGGAGAATGAACATCTGGAGGGCAGGGACTGTGTCTCTTTCTTTCTATCTCTAAGGTCCGTGCACAGCCCTTGAGTGAGTTCAGTGTGTGCCGAGTCAGGGAGTGAATTCACATCGATGCTGTACTGAATGTGATGTATACCAGAAAGAGCTAGGTAAAGTCCAGGCATGATGGCCATGAGATTTTCTTCTATTTTCCCCTGATCCTTGTGCTGTCAGAGCAGAAGCTGAGGCAGTGGGAGGCTCAGGCAGGCTGGGTGTCAGCAGGACACCAAGTCACTTGGCTGGAAGAGGCCAAGTGCACAGAATGTGGTAGAACATAGGACTGTTTTAAGTTGGGCCTGCATCATTTGGGAAATGATCCCAATCAGCTGCACTGCCTTCCTTGAGAAACTGCCATTTACACTAATCATTAGTAACATATCAGTCTTAAAAATTGCTTTAAAACTTGCTTGTAATACCCAAATTTATAGCTAGCTACATGATGCATTTCCTCCAGGTTATGACTATGATCTCTAGAAGGACTTCTGAAAGTTGTCTCAAATCTCTTTGATACGATGTATTACTTGAGGAAGATTGGTTCATTCATTTGTGCAATCGTTCACTGAACAAGTATTTATTGGACATTTACTGTATCAGACCCTGATATAGATGCTGGAGATACTGCTTTCCTTCCAGTGTGGAGGCTACAGGGAGATAAGCATTAAATAAAATGAGTCAGTGAATTTTATAGTATATTCAAATTTGATAGGTGGTAAGGAGAAAAATAGAGCAGAAAAGAATAACAAATGCTTGTGCTGGACTGTGTGTGCTCGGTCATGTCTGACTCTCTGCAACCCCACAGACTGTAGCCTGCCAGACTCCTT